TAAAGATATTCAGTCTCTTCATATCTGCCGACATGGACACTTGTAAGCAATTGATGTGATGTAAATGTTAGTTTTCAATATAGTCTAGGGTAATGGGTGAATGGGATTGAAGCGGATAAATTATGTTTGATGTTGATAGATTAACATTGTGCAGGGTAATAGTTCGAAGGAATTAGTAATATTAAATTATAATTGTCATTTTCGTTCATGTACTTTGAGACGAAAGTCAGACTCCGTATTTCCGAAGGGATTTATGTCAGGATAGTTCCGTAAATGAGAAGGAATTCTTAATAAGGCTGCTGAAAATAGGTAGTCACGCAAAGGGGCTTCACCCGAAGCCCAGCGAGGGTCAGTACATTCGCAAAGTAATTTTGATAGAAATCATTGAATTATGTAAAGTGTAAAGTAGTCTAGGATACGCTGGGAAGATCTGATAATGTTTTCGGAGGATAAACAAAAACATTATAACCGGAGTAATGAGGATATTACTTCAACATCGACTACAACTGGGAAGTACAGCCATGAAATCAGCAGTGAGCTTATAAGATTTATTTGAAAACCGTGCGGTACATTTATGTTGAATATTTGAAGAAAGTTATCCAATTAATTCATGATCTCTAAAATATTCTGTTAATAGTTATAGTAAATTTAAATTCATTTTTTTAAAAGGGAAATTGTTGATAATTCACAGTAGTTACCATAAGTTTAATAATTAGTTTGTTCTGCAGAACTTTCAGGAATTATGATTCCGTATGGAATTACACGCTCACATGCAGCAAGTATGCCGAGAAATGTTGTATGTCGAAACCTATGATTCAATTTAAACGTGAAATTAATGTAATAATATGTCAACATTGCAATAATTTGTGAGCATAGCAGGGAAACGAAAAAAATAAGTTACATTGAAAAAATCTGTAGGAAAAATATTGTAATGTTATAAATAGCCGCCCATCGTGGTGCATAAATGAAAGATGTTCAAGAGAAAGAAATAATTTTGTCACACATGAATACATATTTTGGCTGATTTCTTTTGTTAAAACTGCCAGTATTTTTGGTAGCTGACACGCCAAAATTGAACAAATGTATACAGCTCAATTTTCTCAAATTTTCATAGCTCAATATTTTGTACTCAAAATTTGTACTCGTAGAAATAATTACTTGTGTATCTAACACAAAAATTCTGTTGAAACTCTATAAAAGGAGCAGCCTCGTTTTCTGAATGTAAAATAATTGTGTAAAATTTGTATGCATTTTCTTAATACATCTTGAGGGTTAATATTTTTACCTCTAAATTTAATGACATCAGCCGATGGTACATCTCAAATTCCATTCAACCTTTAGAAAGTTTTAAGGGGATATGCTAAATTATTGTTAGCCATCCCAAGATGAATAAACTCATTTTGAAGGGAGTAATTTGATAGATCCTGGTATGATAAATAATACATATATTGCGACATCGTGGATTAAATATTTACTGTTGTACAATTTTAATATGTCATTGACCGAAGTAGTTCTTAAAGTCACATTACCTGTTTCCGCCAGCGAGACCCCATTAAAATTTCGACTACTGTACTTATCAGATTCATATTTATGTACTCTGTGTGACTAGTGTATAAATTAGAAAGAACAGAACTAAGAACACCTACAACAGTTTGCGTAACATAGAAACAAGTAAAAAATGTGATTCGGGCTATCAGAGGCACCACGTTCTGAACATTTTGTCAATGTTTCGATGGCCAAGCTCCTATTTTCTGCAAGATGTGATTGCACGGAGATGAGCCACATAAGAAATCAAGTAGTACCGGCCTCTTTCTCTAGATTTTACTTGCCGTAAGGAGTGCTTATGATTTTAATATGCGGACAATCACCACTATTAAATATCTTATGTGATCCCAATGATAGATTTGCTAATGAATGTTCGCGTGTGAATCCAGCAATTGTACCCTAATGAATTTCTTAGTCTGTCTTCGTTCCTGGCAAAAGCACAATATAGTTGCTCACCAAGATTTAGTAAACTATTTCCTATATCCAACATTCTTATGGGTCAATGAGCCCCAAACCTAAATCAATTTTACAAATTCTGGCCGCAATCTTAATCCCCTGTGAGTAAACAATCCGATTCGAATGACAGGGTTATTCTGCTTCCATTACAGACCATACCTCAACGCATAGTTCCTCTTGCATTCTCGAATAATCTCTCTTCCACCGTATTTCATGCGTATTCCTTAGTGAGAACCAAATCACGCACATGTAACAGTGTGATGAAAAGCAACACGTACCAGTTGCCCGACTCGACGTATCCAGTACACGGCGAGGTTGCCGTAGTTCTTCCGGTCGCCTTCGACCATGCCGGAAATCGGCAGGGCTTTGCGAGGCGTGTCCTGCCAGTGCTGAATGCCTGCCCACTTGAGACTTTCCACCCACTGCGAGGTGCTGCGGGAGTTCGCAACCAAGTCCAGCTGGCTGCTGAAGACCGACACCTGCAACCACAGCGGTACTTTGCGCCTCCGTGCGAGGGAAATGTTCAGGAAGAAAACGAAGTCGTGACCTCGCATAATAAATATCACGTTTAATTCGAAAATGTTCGATATACTTTGATATACAGGACGTTTCCGATCTCCTACAGTTTCAAAATTTTTGAAATATTTTTCGCGGTTTTCCATTATAGACGATACTGTACCAGCGCTATTTTGCGCCTCTAGTTTTTGTTTACACACCACTGTCCACATCTTTGATCATGTTCACTTTTTCTGCATTACATTAAGGGATTTTTGTTTCGACATTTCGAGCACTCTTCTTAAGCACGTAACAGCAAACTGAACCTGCGCTGAACTGCCGAACTAACATCGTAGGCCAGAACCATTAGGTGAATGGGCACGCGATTCACTTTCAGCTCGCTTTGAGGCGCATTCTCACGATTGACAAGTTCCCTCGGAGAGCGAAAGGAGAAATGAGTTACTTAATGAGAAAGTTGGGAACTAGACGCAGAAAACGCGATGGTGTTTTGTAAACATGAATTCAATGGCACAAAAGTTATTCTTCCGCAATAGTAATACTCTTCGTCCAAATTTATCAATACAATTTTTTTAGAAACGTGCGTGCTGTACATTTTTATTTCATAGAAACATCGTAACTCCCGTAAGTGTAATGTATGTTTTATTGCCGGGGAGTGCGGTGATCTTGCCTCGCAGGTTGGCAAGATCCGACTCTGCCCTATCCCTCGGCTGCGGGGGTTTTCCCCAACGAGGTAACTCCACCAAAGGGACACCTGCCCAGACAGTTGAAGCATTAAGGTTCTGGCATGTGAGGTAGAATGGTGCATGTAAATATTAATGTATGTAAGAAAAGTTTGAAGATAAAACAAGGAAGATGAAGGAAAGATCGCGTGAGGTCTGTAACCCGTTTTTTTTGGCATTACTCCATAATTTGCCTGTTATTGATCGTAAAACACACGCAATGCTTCCGATCAGAACAGCCGGCCGCAAAATTCTCCTCCACAAAGCGGCTGAATTCGACCTAGCAATGTCCCTAGTGCCGAAAATCCTATCACCGTCAGAACTCGAAAGGCCCATTCACAATGCAAACGTAAACATAAGCATAATGCATGGTCGTAAACATTAACATAAGTGATAGATTGAAGTATTCACAATGTCTGACATGAACGTAAGCCAAATAAGAGTTTCTATTGGCTGTAAGACATTCTTGTTTACTATTGGTTGGATGTGAGAATCGATTTCGAGGTATCGACAGTGTCCATAGCCCAAATGGCGTTAGTTACGAGTAGTCTATCGACTTCCCTCATATTTCGATTCTCGATTTTGAGTTACCGTACTGTGATTGGTTAATTTCTTATGTCTTACTTAAGTGTAAGCACAGAAGCTTTAAGCTTGCAAGCTTTTAAATTGACCTCTTACGTGTTATGCGAACGCATTGTGAATGACTCCGCTTATGGACGTAGACCTAACTTTACGTTAACCCCATGCTTATGTTTGTTTGCATTGTGAATGAGCCTTAAGCCTCGGTTCTTGCGATCGGGCCCCCCTAAGCCGTGACTGTCTCGGTGGACAGCTGCGGGTGTCGCACGGCATTGCGTACCTCCACGGAGGTTTCGTTGAGCAGCTGCTCGACGGCGACGGTGGCCGGCTTCATGAAGTCCTCGGAGAGTGCGGAAAACACGCGGTCGCTGATGCCCACCCAGCGCGACGTGTTGGGCAGCTTGAGGCGCGGCGCCACGTGCACGTTCATGAACTCATCCATGAGGTTTTCGTTGTGGCGCGATCTGGGGTTGTGGTTTCGCATTCCGCTCTTCTCGTTCTCGCCTGAGGGGTTGTGAATGGAGCGCCGCAGATTCGACGGCATAACGATCATATCTGTGAGAGAAGCAGAATGTGTGTTACGAAAGTCTCACAATATCATAACCTTAGAAATGAAAAAGTTCCAACGCAGTATAACGCGGGGGACACCAAAGTTCACAGCTTATATTTTGATGCTATTGAAGTATTAAAAAAAATTGCTAAATTAATAAAAGAATAATCCTTTATTAAAGTACTTCTTTACTTACACAAAATACTTATTTCATTTTCAAATTCTACAATTGAAGGAAGTCCCAGCAATATTTGTATTAAACAATACTGACAAAAAATGATCCTCATAACATAGCAATGCGTTTAATCCTCACGTTTAAATGCAACAAATACTTTCAAATTTTTGTAAATTAATTTTCGATTTTCCTATTACTCTCAAACTCTCAATTCTCAATTAATCTCGAACTTGTTTATCCAAATCCAAATATGCAGTAATAACTCAAATTGTAACAAACGCTTGTAAAACTGACTGTATATTTTGAACAAAAATCACTTGGTAAACAATATTAATCATTTTCAGCTTCCTAAAAAAGTAAAATCTATAACAACAATTGGTGAAGGTTTGAGTAAGTCAACCCATTGACAATGCTAGAGTTATGATACAAATTAGAGTATTCTATGTTTGTTTTAGCGTGAATGTTTTAGGGTAGAAAAATGTATTGTTCCTATCTCAATATTATTTGCATTACATGATGGTTTGATGTCCTATTTCGGTCTCCGTTTCAGATAATTTTCCTACAGATAGTATGTATGATTTACTACATACTGTTTATATTAAGATAAATTAATTTTAATAAATTTTAATGGATATAATACGAGCACTGCGTAAATAACTTTCTTTGTCAAAAGTGATTGTTTTATGAACAATAAATTTTCCTAATGTCTGTATAAATTGGTGCTAAAAACATTCCTTAAGATACGAACAAGACCAATTCACTAGCAGCACACGCAAGGTTTAATTCATGTTGCCTCGACGCGCGCGCCACCGGCGCGGGCTGCCCCCGCCGCGCCCTTCGCGCCGCCCCGGCTGCAACCATGCAACTCGCGGCCGCCGCCCCCGCCGCCCGCCGAGGGCAGTCAGCGCCTTCGCGTCAGCGCTGCGCAGCTCCACACGAGTGCTGCCGTCGCCGCTGCTCGGCATTGGCAGTGCAGGGCACAGGCAGCTCAATTAACGCTTTCAAGTTATTGCTAATGATCGACTGCTGTGTGATGGTATATCCCGGCCTTGTTTTGGGACCATCACAAAATTTAATAGAACAACAGTAGGAATAAGACGTTTGGGACGTTATTCCGTATAAATCAAACGAATTTTGAAATGAATGCGATTAGCACGAAATAAATAAAAGGCGCAAAATTTCTATGATATTGTGTATTTTTATTACCGAAATAGTAAGAAAATTTATATTACCGAACTGTTTTGGTAATCTGTAACGTACCATCATCTAGATGAGAATTTTCCCATCTATTATTAATGATTTGTATTGCTGATATCAGCTCACTATACGTATATACACTATTTGTATTGTTTGATATCAGCTCACTATACATGCCGGCATTTTTATTTTATGTAAAGGTTTCTTTTTAAAACATTACTATATTTTCTACGTTTAGTTACGTTTAGTTTTATTACGTTGCGCTGTAGTACGTTTGCTCTACTTTTCTGTACTCGAACAAAAAATGTAAAGAAATAAATGGAGCCATTTCTGAGAAAATTTCAAAAATATTGATGCTTTTTGTACAAATACCGCCTAAAATCAAAATATCCCTTTCAAATTCAAGGGCCCATGACATCAGCCAGATCGATGGGACAATATCAAATTTGATTAAATACATGTATGTATATACATGTATGTATATGGTTTACGCTCATTACGTTATTTTTCAGAGATAGAAGGACGGATAAACAGACTGACGTTTTGTCAAATACCACGATTTTTCGGTACCAATGACCCACAAAACGAAGTTCATAATACTACTGCATATTCGAAAATAGCATAGGAGTACGAAAAATCCACATTTTTAAATCAAGTATCCTGAAAGTTCTGAGTTTTGTGATCAAACGCGATTTTTTCTCTGTAGTACTATAATACATTCTTTATTAGTCGCAGTAGCGTACGACACACACAGTAAAACGACGACCGGTCTTACTGTCGGTGATGCTGCCAAGCGCGCGTCGGACGTTTGTTGGGATGCGGGTGAGAATGTTGCGCATGTTGATGCCACCAGTCTCGGCCATCACCAGCCACTCTGTGGCGTTCCACAGGGCCGTCGCCATCCCCCACTGCCCGCTCTGTGCGGCTTTCTGCACGTCCTGGGCCGCCGCCATGATGCGGTCGTGGCCCCTCTGATCTACCAGGCCCTGCGAGCAACGATACAAACAGAATGAGTGGAATGTTAGGAGGCTCCGAACACATTTGTGACCGTGTATTCTGGTGAGATGTGATCAAATGCATCCCGCGAGCAAATTAGCAAAGAGAATGAGTGGAGAGTTAGAAGGCTTCGATCATTGCGTTCCGCAATTTGCTATTTAGCGAGTAGATAGTCAAATGCACCAGTCTTGCGAACTACATTGCAAAGAGAATGAGTGGAAAGTTTAAAGTTTCCAATCACCATGTTCTGACCGTGTGTTCCAATGAGTAACTCTTCTACTAAACCAAGACCTATAATCAACGATACAACGAAGTGATCAGATCGAGGCTGAGTGATCAGATATGTGGTTCAGAGACTGCGCTCATGAGCTAGCATTTTCAATTTACACAAACGTGACATTTACAGTCTAATCAGACCTAGAGATGCTCTGAGACAATATATATCTTAACCCTCGCAACGAGTATAGTTTTGCAAAGAATAAATGCAATTTTACTGTACAATCACAGGCAGATCTTGGAAATTGAGTATCTTAATTTGCTAATCGTATCTCCGTACTCTAGAATTTGGAGGTCTGTATTACTGACATGTCGATCTGGATAGCCGAGATCCCAAAGGCAGCAGTGTCGTGGAGATCTCGGATCGAAGGATCGCGGGATAGAATCCCGCCTCGGGCATGGATGTATTTGTGAAAGTCTCGTCAGCCTTCATCATCATTCTATCACTTCATTAAAAACAAAAAGATTAATAATTCCCTGCGCGACCAGAAGGCCCTTGCTCTTAATGGGATGTGCAGTTGAATAATAAAAAAAATTAAAAATTACTAGTATAAAAAGAGAATACTCATAGTTGTGTTAGCGAGCATATCTAGTGAGGCCATATGTTGCACAGCTCTGGTTTATCATTCATCATGTTTCTAACTATTTAAAATAAATAAGGTTGTATCTACATCTTGGTGACATCCAACCATCACTATTTCTTAAAAAAATTACCTTATGGATTTCAGGTGTGATGAGGGATTTGAGATACTTTACCGGGATTTAGATGATCTTGCCAAAAATCTAGAAATAAGATCAATCTTGCAAACAGAAAGAGCTAGGGAATTAAAGTCATGCAAATATGCATATAGAAGCAAAGTTGAAACTTTACAACACAAATTGGAAGTAATAATAATTCATAAATAAATATATATTTTTTACCATTAATAGAAGTGACACAAAAATAATATTATTTATATTTCCTTTGAAGATCGTTTATCACATTAGTGTAATAAAAGGCAGCATCGAGAAAATGTATTTATCAATAAATTGAATGGGTGAACACCAGAACGGTGTAAGATAAATTTTATAAATTCTGAAAAACACTGTTTATTTTAGGTTATATTTCAGAGGCAATGTATTTTCGTATTTTTATTGAACAATTGAAATGCCGTGGTTTTAATGATGCAGCAAAACGCTGCGGCTTTACAGTGTTATTGACTTCAATTAAGATTTCTCAGTATTCATAAAATATTACTTATATCTGCTTTTCACCCATTCAATTAATCTTTATTGACTGGGAACCAATCGACGGGAAAGAAGAAGTGGATAGAAGTTAAAATATTATTTGTTTAATTATTGATGTCAGGAATTAAATGACAAGATCGTGGTGAAGTTGAAGAACCCAAGTTTTATCACCTGTTGACAGTATTGAATGCATTTTTTAGGATATATGGCGTAATTATATTTATTTGATAGTACATTTGTTGATTTGATACACGCATTTCATAAGAAGTTTTTTGTTGAAAGGTTAGCCGCCTTATAACAAAAATCTTTTTCCTGTTTATTGCCTTCTGTGTGTGATTGCGTGCAGTAGGTTCTAAACAGTCATTATCCGACTTTGTGAATAAGTGTGGGTGAAATCAAGATCTCGAGACTCAATTTATGGTTTGTGCTAAGTTTGGCAGTTAATATTGAGTTTCACTTTGCTTACGACCAAATTTCTACATTAAAATCGAATCTCCACCAAATTTATGCATGTTCTGAGAAGAGGAGACAGAGGTAGAAGAGCGAAGGAAAAGGAGGTGAATGGAGAGCAATAGCGAAATGAAATAACAACAATAACTTGATAACGTTTCACCCACTTGGTACAAGAGGTACGGCGCCCACGACTGGATGGCGTCGACGGGAGCGATCCAAGGGTCTCCCATGGCGAGCCCCTTGAGGTTGGCGGGCACCGCCCCCTGGGAAATAGCTTGCGACAACTGAAGCGCGAACTGCGCCGCCATTTTGCCGCCGTACGCCTCCGAGAAGATGTACAGCGGCGTCGCGATGAAGTCCGGGTAGCGACTCATGAAGACGCGCGTGAACGCCACCAGGTCGTCGGCCACCTGCTTGTTGGTGCTAGGCAGTAGATTGGTGCCATCCACGGTGCTGAAACCCGTGCCTACCGGGCTGTCCACAAACAGCACGTTCACGTCGTTCACCTACGCACAGGCAAAACGCGTAAAAATTCTGTAACTATTTCTGTTAGTGTGGCTCGTGCCTACAGCAGAATTGGATGATGAAAATTAGTTGAAGGACGATTGATTCTTTCGAGAGCATAAACGGTTCTGGTCATTAGTCCAGTATGATACCGCTAGTGAATGTT